TATTTCAAAATATCTGACACCTCTGCCAATCTTTGCAAGCCTCGCGTGAAAAAATGAAAAGATAATTTGCGAAAAAAGGTGTAAAAACTAGGATAGGTGTTTGTCCTCTGTGTCAAAAATAAAGAGATAGGCCCTAAGCAAATTAAGTAGCAAAGTTAAATCAGTGTGCCGAAACTGTAAAACAAGCAGTGCTCGTTACAAATATATATTTTCTTAAGGCACACCTTAAAAGAATTCTTCTGGAAATGGAATGATGAAGAGTTCGCAACATTTGGTTTCCTAAAGGGGTTGGATTTAATATCCTGTATGTCTGGACCAATAGGAAGTGTCTTTGCCTTTTTCTCCCGGCTTTTTGGTTGTTTTGAGTTCTTTGCACTTAATGCCGCGTTAGTGATGATGTTGAAGGGTTGCCCCAACACCGGAAATTAATTTGGAATAAATTGGTCTCCGTGCGCCATTTTTTTTTGATGAAGTCTTATTCCAAATTCTGTACTTTCTGACGCATTCCCGCCGGCCGAAATCGTCTGTGAAGGGCACCATTTAAAATGATTAAAGCAAAGCAGGGTATGGGATAATTGTGATAAATCTAGCGGCCGGGTAAACGTTTAGCGAGGGGATTCCTGGTTCTCGATTTGCCTCGTCACGTATACCGTGCGCGGTGCTTGCCCGCACGCCGGCCCGGAGACGCGCCAGCCCCATTAAGCGCCCTGGCGCGAGTCACGTTTCATCGCGCGGCAAAACCATTAGTCCTCGCTATCAACACGTTCATGTAAGTACCTCCGCGCATGTTACTCCTGTCGCGATTACCCTGGATGGTTAACAAGTCGCTTGTTGGAATCGATAATGAGAGCTTGACTGAGAACAGGCGAGGAAGAGTTTTCTTCCCCATTCTTCGGTAATTTCCTGCGCGCAGGTGAACATGGGCTGCCTCGACGGTAGCAGTGAATAGACCTTATTCACAAGTCGGCCATATTAAATTGAAAGCGAGGTAAACTCTTCATTTTTTGGAACTTGCGAGTAGAAATGAAAGCAAAGTTCATTACAAATTAATACCAGTCCACTCTGATGAATAATCTAACATTTGTGATTGAACATTTTCTAATGTTTTAAGCCACATTTAAAACAAAAAAATTAAGCCACATTTAAAACAAAAAAATTAAGCCATATCTAAAACAAATTTGAAGTGAGGCTTGGAACGCATGCAAAATAGATTCAGGGAGCACGATCGAAAATGACTTCCCGTGAATGAGGTCTTTCTCTACAGGAATAATTAAACAGAAAAGACATTTAGTCGTGCCCAAGTTTGCTACTGAAATTAGAATGGAGGCCTCATTACAGATTTTTGTTTGGATTTCAAATCAGCTAACTAATGAAACAGTTGTACAATTTTGACATTATACGGTATTTACAAAAGGGTTCAATGTTAATTCCACGCCCTTATACTGAAATGAACGTTGTTGGCTTCGGTGCCGTTCTGTTTGCGCTGTTTCTAACACAAGAAGGCGTTTTAGATTTTCTTTTTACCAAAATGAATTAGCTAACAGCGTGATCGCGATTCTTATCAGTGAAAGACTTCCTCATTGTCAAGCAAATTGAACTGAGCAGTCATCGAAGGGGGAGATCAACACGGAAGCACTTAAAACTCAAGACAGGTGCAGAACAATTCAGTCTGATTTGTTGCCGTTTTCGGTTCAGAGACCCTCTCTTCCCCATCACGGTTGGTAACGGGAGAAACAACATTCTCAGGAGCCGTCCAAAGTCATCAAAGATAAAGGCAATTATGTCAGTAGTTTTCCTTTGTTATACGACCGACGACACATTACTTTTCTCTTCTCCTTTCCTTCAAAGCAAGGCAAAAATAATCACACAGGTTCAGTGATAGAACTTTGTCTCATGGCTGAACTTTTTTTAATGCACCGCATCTACAGAGAGTTAAGTGTCAAAATGGTTGGTGCAAAAAGAAGGAAACCCACTTTTGACAGGAATTTAACCTACTTACTTTACTTCTTTGAACTGTGTTTTTTTTGGTTATAATGTAGTGAAGTATAGCTCTTCAACCATACGTGGTAAAAAAATTCTTATCGCAAGAATAGTGTTAATATTCTAATTTGAATACAAGTCACCACAATCACTGTTGTCAACGTGTAAGTCTAGTGTAGTGTTTTTTTTTGGTCTCAAATCAAGCTCCAGAGCTCAGTCAAGCGGATGGAATAAAGCCATCCGTGGACAAACAGGCTTGGCACATGACATTTTTAAACTACCATATCTCAGAGACAAAAGATGCATTTGCAATCGTTTTTCATCACTTATGTTTAAAGATCAATATTTTAATACCATTGAATTTTAAAAATATGCTCAACAAGTATTTTTGAACCACCCGGTAGATTGAAATTCGGACCAGAAAAATGGGCGCCTTACCCGGCCATACTGTGCATTATTTTTGTTTATCAATTAGGTGTAAATGTGAGAGACCACGTAAGTTAAGATCAAATTTAATGCAAACCAAAAAAAAAAGGAGAAGAAGAAGAAGAAGAAGAACAAGAACAAGAAGTAGAAGGGGAAAAAAGACAGTGCGATGCAATTTTCACCCTAAGTCAAACCCCTCCGATTCACAACAACAATTTCCGCCTTTTCGTCAGTACCCGTGTCTCCTGTAGGACAACCGAAATGCTTCGTGTCTTCATTTCCTTCTCGATATTCTGAGTTAGGTAAAACAAATATGTAACTCCAAGGACGTTCTGATATCTACGATATAAGCCCTTAAGGTATTGTTTGATATAAAAAGGATTGCTGTCATTACAATAAGTATCTGCGCTGAAAACGAGTTAAGTCGAGTGGAAATGGATTAGATTAGAGAAGCGAAGTTTATGTTAAGTGGGGTTAGAGTGGTGCAATATACCACAGTTTTGTAGGAAGCTGCGTATTTATGTGCGATTTTGGACGGCCGTCAACTGTGCCTTTTTGTTGAGCCTGAGATCTTGTTGAAGCGAACCTTGCATGTCATGGATTTGCAGGTTTTGCTGTACGGGGTGAGTCAAAAAGAAAGTAACCGAATTCGAAAACAAATATTTAAAATAAATGTGGCACGCTCCATTTCATAAAAAACAGCAAAAAGGACATAGTATAACTGTGAACATTTCACGTACTTTGCATACTATATTCCCAAGTTACGTCTATTTTAATACTAAGATTACACAATTCAGCTGTCCACCACTGATCATTTTACCGCTCTGCGAACTGATGAATACCCATTAAATACAATGAGACATGGACGTTTTCCCACCTCTATGAATGGAGGAGAACTTGCAAAGGAAAACATGCCACAATCAACATTAATATTTCAGGAAAAAATAGATGACTTGTTCCTCATAATATTCACAACACAAAATCTGACAGTAAAAAAAAATGTTTCAGTCTTGATTTAAATTAGGCTATTAAAATCTCATTTGTATTTGAATGCCTGTGTGTAATCTATAATTCTCACTCAGCTCAATAGCTTCCAATGTCATTCCATGGACAGCTATAAAAATGGGTTCTTTTGGTAAAACGTGCATAACTTCTGCTAGCATTATTCAATTTCAGTCATTTTGTTTTAGATGAGGGTAAGAAACATGCTCTTTTAAGATATACTTCACTGGTGTTTAAAATTTGATTGATTTTCAAGAAAAAAACATTAATTCGAGTCACTTTCTTTTTGACTCACCGTGTAGTTTTAATGAACTTTATACAAACGAGAAGCTCAAATATGTTGACTTGCACGTCATCAAAATAATTCATTTAAACGTTGACCTCTCGCGACTTCTCGCACAATCTCGCAGTCCGTTCCCAGGTTCCATCAATAAGTAGGGCCAGGTCGTTCATTCCGCATTGTTTTTTTGTTTTTTGCTGAGCAGCACCAGTGATCGTTCAATAATGTCACGCGTGTTTGATTACTATAATGTCTTCGAACTGCAGAGAAAAGAAACGTTAGGCGCTGATGGGCTAGATAATAGGAGTGTAAAATTGAAGGGGCTAAAAACCAACGAGGCGCAATTTTTTCTTTTTATAATAATATATACCATTATTTTTAGTGACGACATTATGCGACCTTCTCCCCATCAGGCTTTGTTCATCCAGGTCTGTTTTTTTCTTCAATAATTGAAAGTGTGAGTCTCAATTTGAAAATGTAAATTTGATTCTAGAATGAGCTACTGTTTGGGAAAATTTTTGGGAAAATAAAAATTAAACAAGGGGAAAATGTTCAAAATCAAGGATTACTTACAACAACATCTAAGGAAACAATTAACAAAGACCGTTTGGGGGAGGGGGCTAGAGAAAGATGGATCGATTTAAGGTTTCACGTGCCCCAACCCAAGCTTATTTTGTTAAAGTCTATTTTACGACCATCTTAAATCGATACCAGCAAAACTACTTCAATACAGTTAAAGTGTAATGTTAAGGTTTCTCTTTTATCAACCATGATGACATGACTTTGTAAAAAACTCAACATATTGGAGTTGGGAATCTCGTGTTCAATGACAATTAAAGTTAAATTCGAGGAAATAATTCTAGAATGAAAATGGGCTTGAGAAAAAGGATTTGAGGTCGGACAGTAAAATTTTAATGGATGGCAAATGCTGCGTGTTGTCATGACCCAGAATCGATTGAGCACACATAGTTTAATTTCCCCTGTGCTCAGCGAGATTCCAAAATCTCCAGAATTACTTTGGCCCCGCGCGTTGACTTTGAATCCCCCAGTGAGCTACGAAAAGTCAACGTCAGGAAGGCGCAGAAAAATAAAAAAAGAACAGTGTTGCCCCTTCTTATCATTGTCACTGCAAATTATGCCGGACACCTCTCGTTATACATATATGGCTGAATGACGGAACAGCTTTGGCCGGAACCCGAGACGCGGGTGTAGCCTTGTGCGCATGCGCAGGGCGCGTCATCACAGGTAGGCGCGCGCACACACTGACAATAGGCAGACCGGTAGAAACACACGTGGCTTCCGACCACACATACCGAAAGCTCTATAAGGCTGGATACAAAACGGCTTCTCCACAGATTTCCTCAGGAAGCAGTTGTGATGCGACGGCTGTCATAATCTAGCCTAAGTAACGAAGCAGTGTCGTCCATTGTGTAGGCCTATCAACCGTCTCTGTAAACACGAGTCAAAGCCGGGAGATTGGGAAACTACGCTACTCCTCAATACCTGCTTGCAATCTAAGCCGTAAAACTATAGTGACAAACCGGATCGATCCAGATAGCATCAAACGCTACCAGCCTTTAGCGGCAGCGTGACTTCGAACTTTAAACTTCCTTCTTTGACTTTGGGGTTATTTTTTTTTGTTCTGTTCCCGCGAGGCAGATGATGTTAGCAGCGGAGAAGTGCTTGACGTACTGGCTGCTGGCCACGATACTGGTGGTGTGCCTTGCCAGAAACTGTGCCGGGCAAGGATGCCCACCGGCGCCCATCTATTGTGAAGGCAAAGGGCCCGGGGAGATGCGGTGGGGGAAAAGAGCGCTTACGGATATTGGAAGGTAAGTCTGTCTTGGGAGTCCAATTATACGGCAGCAGCCTGTAAATTCAGTGGGCGCATTCACCAGTGGTTAATATTACTCACCCAAACACAATTAACGCTAATACCAGCATCTTTGGTTGGTTTCTGATACACCATTGCTCCTTGACTCGAAGGCCAGCCCATTGGCAGCTGACTGGCCGAGCCACCACATTCGACTGACCTGACTGATTGACTAACTTACGGATTGTTAATAATGTCTGCAACTGACGTTTTCGGGTCTCGTTCGATCATGCAAATCTAGTCTTTTTTAATTCATGGCGATATCCGCTGCTCCAGTAAATCAAACGTCAACTACAATTACCCCCAATGAATTTATCAAGTCGCTGGGTTGAAAACACAGGAAATATTTTCCCACAAGAATAACAAATAAGGCTATAGGTTTAAGCTGTCTATGCTGCTAATTAATGTAAACTGAAAATTGTATGTTTTTCACAAAAACAAAATGTTTAGGTGTTTTTGTATTCGTACTCGTAGGATAAATCCAGAGTTTGTGGGTCTGAAAATTTCACATGGGGCTCGACATCTTAATCATAACCATTTTGAGCCCATGGCGCACGTCAAATTAATGCACGTTAGGCTTGTCACAATATAACTGCACATGATTAGAATATTATTAAGCTTGCACCCAGCTGACCGTACACTGAAAAATTGCCTGGGTTTATTTTACCCAGAAAAGGGTGAAACTGCAACTACCCGAAATTAGGTTGTTCTATAACTAATTGTTTGGGTAAGAATTACCGTTAAATTCAACCAAAAGTTGTGGTCATACCAGACCAAATGATATTTAGTCTGGTATGACCACAAGCTCCGGTTAAAATTAACAGAAATTCTAACCCAAACAATTGGTTATTGAACAACCCAATTTTGGATAGTTGCATTTTTTACCCTTTATTGGGTCAAATTAACCCAGGCAATGTTTCAGTGTAGCCACCTGGCTTCAATTTAACGATCCTGTAGTCTCCGACTAGATTTTGCTGTTATTTTTCCGTGATTTTGTACACGACAAAAAGAAATGACCAATATACAATTATCATTTTTTTTAATCCATTCAAAAATCTCGTTTCATAGACCAATACTGTAGGATTTCTTCAAAGTCTTAGTGTAATAATGTCCTTAGTGGGCTCATTTTGTTGCCGCGTGGAATTACGTCTCTTTGAAGTATCGTCTAAATTACTTTGCCTTTTAAGGAATCCAGGATTGAAAACAAAAGGTATCTTCCATCAAGCAATCTACCTTCTATATGCTGTTTTTCCACTCTTTGCCTTTTTTTTCGGATGGCTGAATAGGGCAATTTATGTAAACACGTTTCATGCATTAATATCTGAGAATGAAAATACCGAAGAGATGGGAAAACAATTCAAGCAAGCATTCTATATCCCATTAAAATTGTGCATCTCATTATTTGAACAAGAGGTTTATTTATTTAGAATTTATTTTTTGGAATTAAAAAAAACAACTCCCGCAATATTTTCCAGCAATGTCTTTTTGATGAGAATACTCTCAACCAAATATTCGACTGAGCGAAAACAAAATTGATCAATCACTTAATTATTCAACGATGCCAAGTGAGTTTGATGTTTTCAAATGGAAAACCAAAAAAATAATTGCTTGCTGCATGACATAAATTGACAATGGCAAAATGCACTGCGTTTCCACTTCGGCGGTTTCTCCGATCGCGTACTGTATATCGTAATATCAACTTAAACTTGAACTTATGGGGAAAACATATGGAGATGAACAAATTATTATAATTTATTTTATGAAATGTACATTACAATGAAATGAATGACGTGAGAGCATCTGTCATCAAAGTAAAAACAAAATCTTCGACACTGGTTGGCAACGGTTTCAATGTCGGAGTGAAGGATGGAGGAACCTGTACAAAGAAAATGGAAGGGGCCTCAGATATCAAATTGATTTTTGACTTCATTTTTTAAAACAAATTTTCTTATAAATAATCGCTCGAACAAATGTTTACTTGCATTATTTAATAAGGTTTCTATGAAAAAATAGTAAAAATATAGTACAATTTTAGAATATTTTGAACGAGCCCTCTGCACGGTTCGGTTGAAAGAGAGGCTAGCGTACATTACGTAATTAAAACCTCGCTCTGGTTCCAATATATATGGCGATTCCGTGCATAATTGCTCATTATTTAGAGTATGTTGCTAGAATTACCAGGCTTGAGAAAAGATACTTAGATTTTTCGGCTACCAATTATCAAGTCAATTCAAATGGAAGAAAAGGAACACCGTTTTTGTATAATTTAAAAATAATGAAGTATTAAAATGATGGAATATATTATATTGAATGTTCAAAAGGGTAGTGACCGTATTAATTTTGAAGGAAACTTATGGTTTTATTCACCATATGTTTTGAGGGATAGTGGCAAAGAGTGTTGTTACATGCTTGGGGGCTCTGTTACGCGCAGCGATGAATTTGCACAAGTAATACCGGCCACTGTCGTTTAAGCCGACTTCGTGACTTTCCTCCGAGGAATCATCGCGGACTTCACCCCAGAAACGGTTAATGGAGACTTGAAAGTGAAGAGTGCCCCAGGGTTAGTTTGCTGTCATCACGTTGACAAGACCAGTGGCCACTCCTATACGAGTCCACTTTAAAAAAAACACACATGGCTTAATTAATGTCGAAGTGACGCCCAAATGTTGATACTCCTTAGAGCAACAGTTTGATTAATTTAGACGAGCTTTGGTCGTAGCACGAGCGCCTTGTCCGCGCACTGATTCGCGAAAGCACGCACCAAGGGAGCCGTTAATCCTCCGGATTTTGACAGATTTAGTGCCACGAGCAAAACAAGTCCATTAATTTTTTTTCTATTCACATTCGGAGCTCCCTTGTCGATCACAGGCCTGCGTTAATCACTTTTTTCTTCTTCTGATTGATTAGTCAATGAATTTTTTTTTCTTTTCAAATCGTTAATTGCTTTAACCTACGGGAACTCATCAATAAAACGCTCTCTAATGCATACAATAGAATCCCCGATATTATCTATCCTCCCCCCTATATAAAATAAACAATAAAACAAAAACAAACAAAAGGATTTGGAAAATTCCCGTTTTTGTTTTGTAAATTGCAAAAAGAAAAGAGAAGAAAGGAACTTGCTCTCTGATTGTCTTCAAATGCAAATGCCGTTTGCATGTTTTCGTATATGGGTTTTCTGATCTCTCTGACAAAAAAACTAACAAATAAACAAACAAACCAAAAACCCACACAAATGAGGTCATGATTTGCGTAAAGAAAACTACACAACGCGTCACCTTTTCTGTGGAGCGGTGCGGTGTATAGTACAGCCGGGTACCAACTGAAACCAACCCAAATCATGCTGTTAACCACCCTTTTCACAAAGCACTCTTTATGCGAAGTATTCCAAACTGAAGAAAAGTGTCATTTAAGGAGGACTGTTTGAACCTGGTTTCAGCCAGCTTGGCTTTTCCTTTTTGGGTTTTGTGAAACACCTAGGGACATCTTAACCCTTCCATACCAGATGCCAAATTGCAGACAAAGTCTTTAGGCTACGTGACTTCAATGGAATGATGGTACTTCCAGAGCAAGATGACATCTGCCAAAAGCCTTTTACTCAAACATAACAAATGAGAGTAAAATGGTTGTGCAAAAAAAAATAAAAATATTGTTCTCAACAGTATTCTGATGTCACTGTCACAGAGAGTTTAATTGAAAGCTTAAACTCGGGTACCCGGAGAATACGTTTCTAATTAATGGACATGGCGTGGGGTATTGATAACTGCTGGGGATAATGAAGAGTGTATCTTTTACTCTCTTGGGAGCAGGAGAATAGATTGTAAGAGGCAGGGTAGGTAGCTATGGGCTGCAGTACTCTGTCTCCTCCAAGGCACTAAACTAGACATCTTTTTTTAAACATTGGAACAAAACTTCAGGAAACAGAGAATTTTTTGTCATTTCTTTTTTGTAATCTTTTAGTATACTTAGTATTGTAACTAATGATCATGACCTGCGTGAGTTTTTTGTGGGTGCCCCCCCCCCCGTGCACGACTTAGAATTTGAGGAGACAACAACGAGGATTATCAATGTTTAAAACTCATCGAATGTTTTTTTCTGTGAAAAAAAAATGAGCCCCAAAAATTGACCGTATAGTTACGCCACAACAGTGGGTATTAAATATTTTGTGATGTCAAAGAGCAGCAACCGTGTTTTGTAACTCGACCGTTTGTATCTTTTGATGTTAACCAAAACTTGTTCTTTAAATATTCTCTTTTTATTTTGAACTGATAAAATGCTGTGGCTGAATGTCGTAAAACACAGCTAAATGTAAATGGGGTTCTGATAGACTCGGGGACATACATTTAAAACAAATATAACTTCACATGTTTTCCGGCATGCTTATACATTTTGCCATCAGCAACATCACACAAATCTTAAGAAGGAAATGTACATTTTGATCCAAAATGTCACCATTACTCACCAGGGCCGAAAGACACCAAAAAACCCGTGCATTGTCCGTTCACATTTAGAAAGTGAATGGGGCGTCTCCATAGTGACTTTAATTTCGCATGAAAGGCAAGCTTGTTACACGAAACCTCTATTGATACTAAGTCTTCTTTTCTTAATCCGATTGCTATGACAATGCGCGTGAATATTACTGCATTAATCACAGTTGATGTGACATTTTTGTTCATGCAACCATGCAATGAATTATATTACAAGACTGAAGCCACGGAAAATGACTCGCAAATATCATTGTGACATTCAACGATGCAGTTGTTTGAAATGTTTTCCCCCCATTCTTTCTCTCATGAGACGCTTACTTGAAACGTTCCCTTTAGATGTTAATAGCAACCGCTCTCATAAGACGTCAGGCTTTATACTTGGCCTACCAAGAAAGATAAACTTTAAGCTCGCCGTAAAGTAGGTTACGAAGAAATGGTGACGTCGTCACCGTTAAGGCCAAGATATCGTATG